GGTCAGTCAGGGATCAGAAACTACAAGAAGAAGAAATAGCAACACCACTAGCTAGTGCAGGGGCAAGGGGAAATCCCCTGCCTATCACGTTCCCTTTAACCTAGTTTTCCTTCTCCAGCTGAAATATATTGGCTTCACAATGACCCCTGCTTCTGAAGCTGCCATGAGAACATGGTGAGGCATATGGGTACCTCAAAGCATCCCATAATTTTCAGAAAATGAGAAGACCAAAGCTGGTAAGCCTAGCTTACAAAGACAACTTCAAAATGAAATAGGAAACATGCTTCAACAAGCCCCAGGGCCAAAGGCCTGCAGGCTGGGCTTCCAAAAGTTCTGTTCTGATAAAGACACTAGAATGCTCACCCTCTGGTGAGACTCGTGCATTCTGAAACTAGCAGGGAAACCAGTGACCAACACAACCAACCTCAGATCATTGGATAAACACCTTATTTCTCTAAGAAGATAGGGAATAGGAATGACAGAAAACCAAAGGTGATAATTTGTAAGGCAGATAGATAGATAGATAGATAGATAGATAGATAGATAGATAGATAGATAGATAGATAGATATGAATATATCTTTTGGTGAACACAAGTTTATAAATGGTTATGAAAAAAACAATCTCTGGAGGGACAGCTAAGCATTCCTACATACTAACTGAGCAGTTCATAGGAAAGCTACTTCTCAGTGCCAATGATGTTGAAACACTTCTTCCAAGAAGTCTTCTCTCTAATGGGAAGACAATTGTAGCAAATCAATTCTAAAGTTCCTTCCTCAAGCAAAATTGCAAATGTGGTACAATATACCTTACATACTTTCTTATCCTCCCTCAATTCGAAGTCCTTTGAATTTCCTGAGCCTCCTATGCACATCTCCAACCCTAGGACTTCACTAGGGTGTGAATATAGTAAATATTCTCAGACTCTTGAGTATTCTCCTATCTTTTCCATGTAAAATGTATTTGTCCCATGTTCGCTTTTCCTAGATCCTTTCCTTGACCAAAGTCACAACCAACTAGCTAGGTAAACAAATTAGCCAGTGCATGTGCTACTCCTTTCATCTAGAAAAATATCTGTAATCTCGTTTAAATGTTTATTTTTATCAAAAGACATTTGCTTGGACTAGGTGACCTTTAAATTCTCTCCTAACTCTATTATTACAACATTTCATAAGTAATTTTGATCGGAAAAATTTTAATCCTTGGGCTAAACTAATTGGCAAGTTGACCTTTTGGAACCCTTGACATTAGAGCTTTTGTGTTATTATTGAATGTAAACACATCACATCAACTAGTTGGCCTTCAGTTAAAAGTTTAATGGTATAGTTGGATCGTATTAAAATCAGCCTACTATAGCAATAAATAACAATGCGATTCACAAGAGCCAATTTATGGAACCAGCCTAGGTGTTTGCCAACAGATGAACGGATAAAGAAAACATAGTATATTTACAATGGAGTTGTATTCGGTCATAAAGAAGAATGGATTATTTGTAAGCAAACAGATGGAACTGGAGAGCATTCTATTAAAGAAAAATAAGGCAGACTCAGAAAGTCAAGGTTGTATGTTTTCTCTCTCATGTGGAAATTAGAGCGAGAAAAAAAAGGGAAATACAAGAGGCGGGGAATCTCAAGGAATTAGAAGGGAAACCAGTAGAATACAGAAAAGAATCCAGGGGAGGGAGGGAGGGAGGAGGAAAAGGGAAGGCACTAGGGAATGAAAATGGCCAAATCATGTTATGTGTATGTACAAATATATCACAATGAATCCATTATTTATGTATAATTATAATGGACCAATAAAATTATAATTTTAAAAAGTGTAATGGTAATTTTTAGAGACTGTTATTGCATGTCCTGTGTATTCTAGGTCCTGTGGTGAATTAAAGATGACCCAAATCCTTTGCCATTTCTCTCCTCAAGCCTCGAGTCTGCTTTCCCTCCCACACGGACTCAGGCCATCCCCGTGAGTTTCTCTAAGCAATAGAAGGTGGTACAAGTGCCACTTTGCCACTATGGGCTTCAGTCTTCAGAGGCATGGAAGGGTTCCTTTCCACCCTCTCTGAATCCCAAGGCCAATATTGTAGAATAAATATGCCCCGTTGTTCTTCTCCAGAGACCTATGTTCAGGGAGAGAGGGAAAGATGTCTGGCCAACTCCCAGATGTTCCATGTATCTCAGCAGAGCTTCCCAACATAAAACTGCTTTGGATTTTCAGCCCTAGCAAACCTCTAAATAACATCTGCCACAAGAATAACCCCAGATGAGACCAGCAGAAGAACCACCCTCCGAGCTCAGCCCACAGAGGGTTGTTATTATTTTAGCAACTAAGTTTTGAAGTGATCAGTTTCACTGTAATGGATAACTGAAGAACACCTCTAAGAAAAGCTGGTTGAATCCTTTCTTTGAACAAAGAAGGAGTGAAAAACAAGTAACACCTTTTAAATGAAGTTTCTGATTTTTTATCATAGTCATTTCACCCTTCATCAGGGAAACTTAGTTCTGTATAAATTTTTATGTTGATACATTTGTTTTATTCCTTCTGGAACAGTCATAGTATAATCTAGGAAGCCATATGGGGTCAGGTGCCATATGGGGGAGAAAGGCCCACTACGTCAGCAAAGGACTAGCAATGTCATGCTTTATCTTAATGTGACAATGATTGACTTATAAATGCACTAGGATTATATCATGACCTTTCCTGTGGCACTTCATCAATCCTCACATCCAATAACCCAGCTCTAAAACTCTGAATAATATAAAATGGTAGTGTTTATAATGTACATCATTGTCTATGTAACGTGATCTAAAAGTCAAAAGTCAGTCTTGCTCCCTAAATTTCCTCTCTACCAGCCTAACCCTGTCCTTGAAATTCCTCCCAAAGCTGTTCTTTAGGTCAACTTGTTGTAATGCCACTTTTAAATACAAATATTGCCTTTTTATAGAAGTAACCTATTAACCAGTTAGAATCAATAGTTTTGCCTGAGTAAGCAATTACAGTGCAAGGCTCAACTCCAAATGCTCTTGCCAAATAGTGGTCACAGTTTACTGGCTTCCCCACCTTAATCTCATGTTACTATTAATAAAAATGATCAAGACTGTCTCTATAATTTGTTGAACTCCATAATTAATTGAGCTCAGTAAGTAGTTAGCTCTCACCTTACATTATTTCTAATACAGATACAGCACTACAAAGTACTACTTTTCCTATTTTGTGTATTTGGAACTAGATCCAGTGAGGTAATAGAGCTGAGTAGTGACAACAACAACAAATATTTAAACTAATGATTACTACTGGTCGTCTCCTATAAGGAATACTTTGACACCAAGATAAAAAGGAAGCATTTTACTGATTTTTATGAGATCCACACAATACCACCACAAAAAAAAAAAAAAAAAGTTATTTCAAATCTCAACTGAAGTTGTTTTTTACATTTTTCAGTTGGACTTTCATGGAAAAGAATAGTAAAAATTCTGGAGGAATATTACATGGCAACAGGAAACAGGGCTAACTTGATGGAATTTAACTCAGAGGCAATTGACCACTGAGCCACGTCCCCAACCCTTTTGTTTAATTTTTATTTTGATACAGGGTCTCACTAAGTATCTTACGGCCTCACTAAATTGCTGAAGCTCACCTTGAAGGTGTGATCCTCCTGTCTCTGCCTCCCAAACTGCTGGGATTAATGGCATATGCCACTGTGCGCAGCACAAACTTGATTTTTTTTTAAAATTTACTTGTACGTCCAACTTAATAAGAAAATCTCCTACAGTACTAGGTGTCTAGCTCATCTTCATGTTTATGTTATTTGGCATTCATAGCTTAGTACTGGGAACTACAATATAATTCCCAGGACTCCATAGAAATCTTATTGTAAAAAATGGTCAGGGCTCATCAAATATTCCACAAACTTCCTTATCTTTCACAGCTTTTGTGGTGGTGTGTTGGGAGCATATAACTAATACTGGCCAAAGACTCTGAGTAGAAATGACATGTATCACTCTAGGCTACAGCAGGTGAGAGCAGTAGGCCTCTCCTATCTCATACTTACCATGTCACAATACTCTAAGAGGCCACAGCTGCTAGAAGAAATGTGAAATAACCAATTATTACATAATATCTTTGAGATATTAAGGGTTTATTTGTGTGGCAGCCTAGGGCTAATTTTTCTAATAAATCTTGGAACTCTTGTTTTTGCAGAATACTGTATAACTTCAATGCCATTTTAAACTCCAAAGGAAAAAGACACGATTTAGGTTCTTATAATGCTCAGGATGTTATTCCAAAAGGTTCTAGGTTCCCAACTCTTCTAACCACTGTGTTACAAATGCTGTAGGGTTTGGTTGCTTAAGGAATTATATATTTACATCACATCAAGGTTTTACATGACTAGAACCAAGGAAATAAGAAATGAGGATTCGACTGGTATCATGGATTTCAGCTTCAATAGTAGCAATAAAATTCATAATCTGGTTTATAACTTTCCCTACCTTACCCATGCCAAAGTGCTTGGGGGACTAAGCACTTTGGATAATTATATATAATTGAAGAAAAAAATGCTAATTAAAACCAGACACTGGAACTAGGGTGATGGTTAAGATTAATGGACATCCTAGTCAATGGTACATTCTTACACCTTATTCTAAAACACCAGAGAACATTCTTTAGTACTCACCTTCTTTTTGATAATGACAAAACTGCAGGGCTTTGAAATTATCCAGATGGGAAATATGGAATACGAACCCAATTGAGACCTGTGGGCCACCCTGTGGGTCCTCTCGCTGTTTACTTGGATCTTTTCCATTGGTATTGTGTGTCACTGCCTAGTCCTTGGAAGATAAATAGGTTATCTTTGGTTTTGATTTTTGTATTTTGCCTCTTTTGCTCTGGTGGCATCTACCTGTTGCCTTTGAGTTGCTACAAAACCAGGAACACTTCCTGGTTCTCATGGAACTCTTCCATTGACCTCTCCCAATGTGTGTTTTTAAGAAGAACAAAAGGCACAAAAAGGGATAATTTTACTTGATGGATTTTCACCCTGTAAGACCCAGTGGAATCCTACTCATCAGTCCTGATTTCAGAACATGTTGAGGAGATGAACCGTTTGGTTTATGTCAGAGACCAACTCCCTCCTTCTGGAATCTTCTTTCACTCAGAATAACTTCTTTTAAATTGCCAGTCAATTCATCCAGGTATCATACCAAGTATTCCAGTTTCTTCTTCTGAGTGTCTCAAAGCCAAAAAGAAAAAAAAATCCAGTTAAAGAATGTTATATTAAGAAAAAGAAGAAAAACAAAAACAAGAATATTGAGATCTTGCTGCACCATTTGTCAAACAGTTTTATTTGCATTACGTGAGTTTACTCACTTAATTAACTCACAAAAATTTCTGGAATATAAATATAGCTGTGACATTTGTCCAAATATGACCACATAATAAAAAAATCACCATTGTATGACATTAGCACGAAAAGCTGAGAGGATTCAGCTTTTTGAATTTCTTCATCAAGATTCACAAACCTTAACATTGGACATAGAAGCATCTCTTCATTTACACTATTCTAAAATATGTCAGAAGGAATCAACATGCATCATAGCATAAAGTCAGCTTATTTTGCATCACTTTTACTCCATATATCTAAAAATAACTTATTTTCGCCCACTGTTCTAAAGTGAATTACATTTAGGTAAATTGGAAAGGCATGTGACTGAGAACTAAAACACCTGTATGCTGAATCTGGCTTTGCCTCAGTCAGCTGGGCTACATGAGGAAGTCACCTTGTTTCCCAATGACCCACTTCCTCCTTTATAAAATAAGAAACACATTTCTGTACTACCTGTTTTGCCTGAGGGGAAAAAAAGCTGATTTAGATACATGTTATTGATTATCTATTTAAGAATAGTTCTCATTTAACATATACTTCAATCTTTCCATAATCAAATCATCAATGATGAATCAGCTACTGTATTCAGGCCCTACTAACTACTGAGGACACAATAAGTAAAATGTTATTTCTGTCTTCCACAGGAACTGGGTGGGGAAACAGCCTTGTGAAGAAGTAGCCAATATAACACTATTGTTGCTATCACAGGAATGAGGCCCCAAGGGCTACACGGGTACAGAGAGCAATTAGAATGATCAGGAAAAGCCGCAGAGAAGACGTGCTATGATTAGTGCCTTGAAAAAAATGAATATTTTATATTTTTTTGCATCTCTCTCTCTCTACCTACCACTCCTTAATGGATATTTGGTCTTCTTTCATGACACATTAAAAACTTGGGCTCCAGCCAACATAACCATGGCCCTCTAACTACATAGCAGCAATACATTGCCAAAATGAAAACACTTCATCTCTCTTTTAGTGTGAGAATGGATACAAAAGATTCCAGTGGATATGGAAGTGGCCTAAAGATAGAAATAAAGTCAACTCGAACCATCCACAAACCTACAGCTCCCATCTCTTTTAAAGAAACACTACTTTTAGAAATATGCAAACCCTCCGTGAATTCACAGCTTCCTCTTACTTAAATAGGCTTCAATTCTTTTTTGAGGGTGTTCTCAACTTGTAGGAATACGTGCTGACACACAGAGTGACATGGTGGCTCAAGCATTCCTATCAACACGCTCATGGCAGTGCACCCCACCAGCCCCTGCTGACGCAGCCAGAATTATACAGTTCAACCAGCCATGCTCAGCACCCAGGTGAAGGTCAAGCCAAGGGCCCTGTCTTCTCACATCAGCAGCTGTTTCAGGGGAGTCTGGGTGTGCAGAGATTCACAAGTGAGTGTGGCAATATGCTAAAGTGCATGGAATTAAACACACATGCAAAGTAGAACCTTTCAGGAAGCTCTTAGATAAAAATAAAAATTTTCCTTTCATATCAAAAAGTTAAGTCCTCAAGGTGGACAAGAGTTCATTAAAAGGGGAATACCAATATACTGCTGGCAGGGCTGTGGAAGATGGCAATCCTTGGAAAGATAATTTATTCGCATGTCTCAAAAACTTGAAAATGTTTATCCTTTTGGATACAACTTCTAAGACACAATCTTATTTATAGAAAAATCTTCATGGTATGAATATATAATAAATCCCACTATTATATATAATTATAATGCATCAATAAAAATAATAAATAAATAAAAAGAAAAACTTTATGCATGAATATGATCATTCCAGGATTATTTCTGATAATAAAAATACAGTATAATCTAAAAGTTCAATAATAAGATGATGGTTTATTAAAATTACTGCATGTCTGTTAGTATACAATGGAAGCATTAAGTAGAACTTATCAGAAGATACATAGATCACTGGAAAACAGTTAACAATATTAAAGGATTAATCCAGAACACAAAATTAAATAAACAGTTGGATTTTAGACAAACCCATGCATTTTTTTTAAAATACATAGAAAAAAAGATTGGCAGGAAAGTACCAAAAAATTCCCAATGATTGCCTTTGAGTGAAATAAGTTGATTTTTACATTATTTTTAATTTTTTTAAATTTTTTTAGATGTACATGACAGTAGAGTGTATTTTGACATATTGTACATGCATAGAGTATTACTCATTCTAATCAGGCTCCTATTCTTGTGGTTGCACATGATGTGGAGTTAAACTGGCGTATACTCATATACAACAATAGGAAAGTATGTCCAATTAATTCTACTGTCTTTCCTATTCCCGCCTCTTCTCCTTCCCTTTATTCCCCCTTGTCTAATCCCATGGATTTCTATTCTTCTCTTCCCCCTCCTTATTGTGAGTTATCATCTGCAAATCAAAGAGAACATTCAGCCTTTGGTTTGGGGGGATTGGTTTATTTCACTAAGCATGAAAGTTTCATCCATTTACCAGCATATGCCATAATTTCATTCTTCTTTATGGCTGAGTAATTTTCCATTGTGTATATAGGCCATATTTTCTTTATCCATTCATCTGTTGAAAGGCATCTATGTTGGTTCCATAGCTTGGCTATTGTTAATTGAGCTGTTATATACATTGATGTGGCTGTGTCATTGTAGTATGCTGATTTATATCCTTTGGGTGTAAACTGAAGAGTGGGATAACTGGGTCAAATGGTGGTTATTTTTAATCTTTAATAAGTTCTATGTTTTCTCTAATAGGGTTCAGGAAGAGAATTCTGAGGATTATATCAAAGTCAGAATGGCCCTGTTTAGGTATGGTGTTATTCACAGACCCACCGACAGCAAGAAAGATCAATGCTCAATATGAGCCAAAAAGTTGTTACCAAGGCTGGGGTTGTGGCTCAAGCGGTAGCACGCTCGCCTGGTATGCGTGCGGCCCGGGTTCGATCCTCAACACCACATACAAACAAAGATGTGTCCGCCGAAAACTAAAAAATAATATTAAAAAACATTCTCTCTCTTCTCTCCTCTCTCCTCTCCTCTCTCCCCCCCCCCCCCCTCAAAAAAAAAAAAAAAAAGTTGTTACCAAACCAAAATGCTAAGGGAACTGCAGTGATATAAAACAGGAAAGTTGGATTCCCAGAATTTGAGTAATAACAAGATAAATGCAGAGAAAAATGCTATTAGAAATGCATCTGATTTTCAAAATAATCAGTGTGATAGATAAATCCAGAGTATCTCTGCTAATGAAACTTAATTTAACCAAAGAACTAATTCAATTGGTTCAACAAATCTTAATTATTAAGTACCCACTGTATGCCAAGTATTTGTTGATGTGCCTGGGTCACAAAGATAAATATGACAACATTCCCTGTCTTCAAGATGCTTACAAGAGTATGTATAATTTAGTTTTGTGGCTTTAAACTCAGTTCCCCTCCAAAAAAAAAAAATTGTCTCAAGATAAGAAATTTTAAAATATTTCATTTGGTCTAGTAGAAAGGCAGGAAGATTAAATTCCAAGGAACTTACTGGTGAAGAGATGCAAATTTGGACTTAGAAAATCAAGTAAAGATAACAATTCAATAATTCACGCTGATATCCCACAGCTGTTAATACTAAAGTAGGTTAGAGGAAGAAGTCAGCTTACCAGATGTGAGTCAGTTGGCCACCACCATCGCTGAGTACCCACTGCACAATGTTCAAGTCACCCTGGAAATGTACAAAAAACAGAACATCTGACCCCATCCACAGGAAGCTTTACACTAATTTGGAAACACACACACACACACACACACACACACAAACATGAAAGAGATAGTTAAAGAAATTGCACTTGTCCAATAAATCCAAAGGGAAAAGTATACAGAGAAGAGAAGGGGGCTCCACCCAGAAGAGGCAGCAGAGAACTCGAGATTTTGACTTAGTTGATCCATGCAGGCCCTAGTCATTAATGTTGTTTTTTATTGTTGTTGTTTTTTAAAGAGAATTCTCCCAAGTGGTTCTGGTGTTCAGCCAGTGTTAAGAACCCCTGGCTAAAGGAAACATATGACTGAATAACAGGAGATGATGCACTTGAAGTGGGAAATGGATTACGTGTGACTCAGTGAAAAGACAATTTTAAATGCTATAATTAATTTGGCTCATCAGACTGAACTCCTGGGAAGGAAGGGTCATGTTTTCATTCATTTGTATATGAACATAATACTAAGTTAATATTCCTTGGAGGAATGAGTGTGACATGTAAAATGTAAAAATCCCATAGGTACTTCAACCAATAAAAAAGATGACAATAGTATTTAAAGGAGGCTGTCTCAATGTTATAACAGAAGGATGGAAAAACAGGCAGTAGCTAACATCTTCTGAGTGCTCCCTCTATGCCAAGCAGTGTGCCCCTCATACTCACCACTCGCCTATCAAGTGGACATACTATGCCAAGGGAGAGAACTGAGGTCCAAGATCACTCTGTGTCCATAAATAGCAAAGCTGGGAATTTGGATCTGCAAAAATAATGTGTGGTTCTTTTTGGTAGATGCCTAAATACATATGAACAAACACCATATCGACCAACACAATCTCAAATTTCCCAAGAGAGTTCCAGCTCTGGACTCACTATAACCGTGCAGAAATGGCATGTGACTTCAATTAAGATATTTATCTAACTACAAAGATTAGAGCTCTTAACAGTAATCAGACAGGTGGGTCCACATCTGGTGTTTCTAGAAAATAAATTCTATTGCTTTGACTCTTCTCACATAGTATTTCATTAGATATGTAATAGAAAAGAAAACTTGTCCCGTTGTACTTTGTTTCGGAATAGGAAATGTAATTGCTTTATAATTTAGGAAAAACTTTTTACTACCCATCATTTCTGTATTTACATCTAAGAGCACATTGTTTTCCTCCTTTTGGAGATGATCTGAAAATAAATATCTCCACTGTCTGCAATGCATGTACTATGTAGAATAGCAGATTACATGTCGATTGGTGAAGCGATAAGCTCAGGAGGGGTTCTCACTCTCATGTACTGAAGACCAGATTGACCTCTTTACACTGGGAACACAAGAGAATCAGACACTCTAAGTAGTTTGTTTTAAAAGTAAAACAAAGGACATTTTAACAATGTAATACCACCCTCTACTAATTAATAAAATTTTATTAATTTTATTATTTTTTAATAATTTTATTAATTAATAAAATTAATTTTTAAAAAATGTAGCCACCCTAAGAAGGAAAACGGGAACCATCCTACCAGCATTCAGTAACACTGACATGAACATGTTAGGCACATTAATTGCTTTGTGATTCTTCGGGAAGCCAGAAACTGGATCTATTGAGAAGCTCTGTGTTTGCGTAAAACCAAAACCAATTTATTTGAACAACAATTTGCAATATATTGCCAACCAGAAACACAGCTGAATTTTTCTATCCTTAAAACACTTCACTTTGTAACTTCAGCCACTAAAATTATACAACCAGCACACATTCTCCATGTTACCTTCGTTTTATATTATTAACATAATAATCTTATCTCCTTAAAACCTTAACTGCTGTTAGGATTTTCTGCTCAGGTTCAGTAGCTACTCTCTCTCTCTCTCTGATACACTGATATATGTACTAATTGAGATTTGCTCATATTTTTTAAATATCTGACTTCGAATGACCCTCTTTCTGGCCTCTTCTCCTCTTTCAGATCCATGTAGCTGCCATAAACTTTGTTGGCTTGTGGCATTCAAGCTGCAATGTCCTAGTGGGGAGCTTTGCGATTGACTTAAACTGTGCACTGGTGACACCAAACAAAGCCTTATGACAGTCTCTGGATTGTTCTGGAAGTAGGAAAATAATGTTATCCAGAAATTTCCTTGAGATGTCTTTAGGACTAACTAGCTGCCCTCTGGCGGCTCTCCTGAATTACCTGAACGGGGACTTTGGAGATTGGAAGGGTCTAACTTACCAGATACCAGATGGGGGCTTCTCCACAGGCTGCCTAGCAGGGCTGCTCTGCAAGATAAAGGCCAGGAGGGGTGGGGAGGAAACAGCCTGCAGAACACATGAGTCCTCCCTGTTGGAGATGTGGGCTGTCACTTTATGTAATAACTTGACCTTCCATGACTCCCCGTTTTCACTCCCTAGGTCTCTCATACCACACCCTCTGTGTCTTATTCTTCACCTCAAAATGAAGGACAAAAGGGAAGTGAATGATGATAAAATTGTTCAAAGATTACATAATCAAAGGCAGAACACAAACCATAGAAAAAGTTGCTACAGTAAACCACCAAACCCCAACGGAATAAAAACACTACTGAGAAAGGCAGAGTGCTGGGCCAGACTTTGGTTAAAAGGAAGGAAAATGTTTTTAGAAGCAAGAGTAGAAGGTCATCCTCCACGAGGGTTTGCCGTATGCTGCCCAGGTGTTTTCTTTTCCTGATCAGTTGTGCACATGAGATGCCCCTTTCCCTCTCTCCCCCCTTAACTTGCACACAGATTAGACTTTTCATCATCTTTCTGTCGCTGCAACACATGCTTTACAATAAATGTTTACTGAATTTAAAATCCTATTTGGAAGCTGTGCTATTAAATATGGGTCTTTTAATTATAAATACACCAAAAGAAAGATCTATTTATACGAACACAGACTGATTTGAATGGCTGCTTTATAGAATTTTCATGTATAAAGTGGATTGTTAGGATCCTCAGACTTTAAGCCTAATGTTTTGCTTGTAATATTCAAATAAACAGGGGTCAATCATATGAATATTAGTCCTTAAACTTGTTTTATTAGATGATATCTGTCACAGGCTTTCTTCCTTATTCTAATATCAAAACAGAAAAAAATGTAAGTCATATGGGAGATTTAGCACACACACACACACACAATGTCTTTAATTCTATTAACACCTTTCATGTTTTGAAATTCTAGTTAGGATTTATATTTCAAGACTGAATGAAAGCAAAAGTTTCCTTTTATTCTCTAACCAAACCAGTTTGGGAGAAAACTGAACATATTTGACACAGCACCGTCAGTCAGTAATCATACTACTGAATTGTCTCTAAATTTGTCTTTCTAAAACAAAAGTTAAAAAGTTAGAAGAATTTTTCAGGTCAAAAATACCACACCTTGAGTTCTCCATTTAGGTTAAGAATAACAAGTTAAGGAAAACATTTCCACATATAAACTTCCGTCTCTACTTCCTTTGCACTTTAAAAACAATTTTATCTGATACAGCTGTGATGATAATAACCTGGAACTCTGACAATATTTAAAGTTTTAGACCCATTATCTCCATCTAAATCCACATAGCCACATGAGATCCATATTATTATTATCCCCCACATTATAGGGAGAGAAACTATGACTTAGAGAAATGACTTGCTGGAGTTTCTTCAAGTTGTTATTTTGCAAGATCCAATGCAAAGACATTGGAGCCATCTACCCTTGTATAACTTTATGAGGTGAGTATAAACAGAAAGGCAAAATAGGGATGATTCAGTGTATATCACTGCAAATTCCTCTATAACTGAGGCAATCCTGTATGACAGTCAATAATTTTTTTTTGCTTTTTTTTTGAAGTGAGTAAAAAATGTCAACTACAAGATTTCAAAAAGCCATATACAAGCAGAGATATGAAAAATTGTGCTCTATATGTGTAATAAGAATTGTAATACAGGGTTGGGGATGTGGCTCAGTTGGTAGTGCACTCTCCCAGCATGCACAAGGCACTGGGTTCAATCCTCAGAACCACATGAAAATAAAAATAAAGATATTTAATAAAAAAAAAATTGTAATATATTCTGCTGTCATATATAAATTTCTTTTAAAAAGATTCCAAAAAGTCACTCCTAACCAGATTTGTTCATTAATAAATTATTATATGTACACAATTTTTAATGATTCCTATCTTTAATATCTTATCCAATCATCTTGGTTCTAAAATTATTTTTTAATAATATGCTTTGGTCATATACTAGAGTTCTTTCTCAATGATCAAAACCCAATGTCCTTGTAACACAGAGTTTTAAATATTTGTAAATATTCCCAGTTCTTTTATTCACATTCTGCAGAGAAATATAACAGGAACCCAAACATGAAGAGTCTTTTGTATATATGAACAAAGATAAGATCAACAACCAGGAAACCTCCCTGTTGTTGGGTAGAGTATCTCACCTCACTCCTCAGGGCAGAGTTTAGAAGTGTTGTTTATTCTATATCTATGTACACAGGGAAAACGTCAAACAACACACATGGGGGGGGGAATGATGTTTCTAATTGATTCTTTTTATTTGGCATAAATATTTGTGATTTCTCCCACTTTCTGTTTTTGTTTTTCTCTGGTTCATTTTTAAGTAGATAAAAACTTTCTATGTCCTATAATATGAAGTACCAATTTACTTTTTTATTACTCAGTCTTATTAATATGTAATTTACACTAATAAAAATCACAAATTTTAAGTACACAATTCAGTGAGTTCACCAAGGGCTTTCCATTAAGTGACCACCATCACAGACATGACAGAGAACATTTCACAATCACAAGCTCCCTCTTGACCCCTTGCAGAGTCTCTTCATCCCTGGTGTTAAGCAACTACTGACCTGCTTTCTATCACTGTGACTTGCATTTTCTAAAATTTCATATAATTGAAATTATACTATATAAAAACTTTTACACCTGTCTTCTTTCACTTTTGAGAATTATCCATGATGTATGTATCCATAGTTCATTCTTTTTTATTTCTGAATAGTATTTATTATATAAATACAATTCTTTTTTTAAATTGGCTTGCTTTATTTATTTATTTATTTGTTTGTTTGTTTGTTGTAGTTGGACACAATACCTTTATTTTATTTATTTTTATGTGGTGCTAGGATTGAACCCAGGGCCTTGCACGTGCTAGGCGAGCGCTCTATCACTGAGCCATAATCCCAGCCCATATAAATACAATTCTTTAATCCATTCACAGTTAATGGACATTTGGGTTGTTTCCAATTTAGGATGACTATGAACATTTCCATATAAATCTTTGTTTGAATATGTTTTCATTTCTCTTAGTGAGTAAATACACCAAAGTAGATTCATTGGGGCATCTGCTAATTGTGTGTTTAACTTAAAAGAAAGTATCAAAGTATTTCCCAATGTGGCTATATAATTTTGCATTTCCAACAGCAATATGTAGTAGTTCCAGTTGTTTTGGCAACACTATTTAACAATTGATTTGTCCGTGATTTTTTTTTTTAATTTTAGCTTTTCCAGTAGGTATGTAGTAAGATCATAGAGGGTTTAGTTTACATTTGTATGGCTGACCATAAGTATAGATGCCATTGATATTTAACGTGCTGCCAAAAAGATGCAGCCAATTAGTGATATATTGCTTCCTATCACTTAGAAATTTCATAGCTACTTTTAAAAGCTTTTTTAGACTTATTTAGACAGACTTTCTTCATATATCCCTCACATGTACTTTTTTAAAAGGAATATACAAGCAAAAATAATTGGTGACAAAAAATTCTAAAACTTCTTCAAAATCAAAGATCAACTCTTCTAAATCAGCTTTTAGCACAGTACTGATGTGTTTTCCACTTGTCAAAGTCTGTGTCAACAATGACAAGCTTATTGTTTTAGGGTATGCACCATTGTTGCCTCTGAGATTTTTTTTCTCCAAGCCACTAACAATATTCTGTGAGTTCAGTTGCTCTTACTTGGTCTTACCAGACTGGACTGAATTCCTTATCTGAAAAGATTCATATTTCTTCTTCAAATGGTGAAAGATTTCAGTTCTGCAACTATGCTACCAGCAAAACAAGCAAGACAGAATATGAAGAATGACAAATGAATCAGGATAGCTGCTCAAAGTAGTTACTGTAAAATACTATTAATTATAAGATATAACCCACGGGGTGATATATTTTGTCATATTGTGAGTCTTCTAAATCTAAGTAAATTGGTATTTTAATTATGATTAATGTGACTATGCTTTGACAGCACTAACTCCATTTTGAGCCTTTTCTTGTAACACAAGCTGTAACAGAGGCAAGTGGATGACCAACAGTCACCTTAACAACTGGCTAACTGATAGCCACATTGACAACTGTGTGCCAATATGTAAATAAGATAGTTGGTGCAGGGACTCTTCCCTCCAAAACTGACATCTGGAATCTGAGATAATACAACTTCTGGGACTATAAATACTAATTGCTTCAGCCTGCCTTTTGAGACACACTTCATTGTGACTCCACTTTTTTGTGAATACTCACTCTGAAAAGGTATTGGCCACCAAAGGACCTGCCCGAATGAACAGTCCTTTGATTTCATCATTAGCAGCTCAATGGCAATCCAAATGCCCATGATCATCACCTTGAAGGGACCAGTCTCCAGACTCTTTTGGACATTTATATCCATGGACATATGGTGTTTATTCATTACTAGTACTCAGTGCGCACATAATTTTCTCTTTCCTAATTTCACTTATATTTTTACCTAGTTCTTTTTTTTTTATTTTTGCTTCTTCTGCTTTTGTGTACATTATAATAAATTGATTCATTCAGATACTATCTTTGCCTCACTGGTCTTTTCACGTGATTAAAGGATAAAAGGACCTGCCATTCCCAAAGGAAACATAATCCCTGAGATTAAAATGTCACCAGATATTGGGAAACCAGACCTACCCTTGGTGGTCCAGTGCTACATCTCAGTTTCAGAAGAATATTTTAAAGGTGAATTTGGGAAATATGAAATAGAGCATACAAAACCAAGTTGTTTTAAAACAGCTGAGAAATGGAAACAACCTAAGTGTCCATTAATTGATGAATGCATAAAGACGGTATGGTGTATATACACAAAGGAGTGCTATTCCACCATAAAAAGAGAATGAAAAACTGTCAGTTGCAACAACATGGATAGATAACTGGAGCTGATTATGGTAAGTGAAATAAACCAGACATAGAAAAAATACCACATTATCTTACCCATATGTGAAATCTAAAAACCTTCTAAGTTCTCATAGAATTTGAGAGTAAAATGGTGGTTACCAGAGATTGAGGAGAGTAGCAGAAGGGAAGGACAGGAAAAATTGAATAATGGGTACTAAGTTATATTTAAATAGGAACAAGCAGTTCTGGAATGCTATTGCACAGTAGTTAATGATAATGTGCTCTGTATT